TGTTTTAAACCTTTAGTTTTGTGTTTAAATCTAGTGGCATACGATTTTCATCCCTATTTATATACTTCGTGAAGTACTTACTTTTAAAGGTAAGTTATTACATTGTGTACAACTACATTGTATGTAACTAAAGTTGTTACTTGTAAATTACAAATATGACACTAGAGAACTATTGAAAAAGCGTTGCAACTCTTTTTTTGTAAAGAAATATGAGTTTATTTATTATCTAAAAGAGTATTGAAATTAAGAAAGATGTAGTAGATAAAGTAAATATAGTAATGATCTGATAGAAGTAGGTAAAGATGACGTATACATAATTACATATCTTAAATTTTATAGGTGCATGGACTACAAAAAATACAACAAAAATAATGCAGTTCCAATTAGCAGCAACTCCTCGAAAATTACCAGTATTTGTATTTCCCCAAAGTGTTACTTTCTTCTTGGACGATCAATCTACTCACAAACAAGTTTTAACTTTATATAATCCGTATGACTTTCCTGTCAAATTTAAAGGTAAATATTCTATATCTATGAAAACTAATAACAAATAGACATATAGAAATGTGGAAATAGATATATTTCCACAATGAAATTCTTACAGAAATTATTACTATTATTACAGTATTATGCACTGCACCAAACAAGTATAAAGTTGTTGATCCAGAAGGTACAATCAAAGCAAGGTGCTGTGTTGATATCGTTGTCAGACATATAGCACCTTTAGTAAACAATTGCAATGTTATTGATAAATTTAGAATACAAATGCAAGAGCATCCAACTAAGCAGGTAATTTTCAAACAGCAAAAATTTAATAGAAAAGTAACATTTTAATTATATTATTAAAATAATATAATTTAAGACACTGGGAATATTAATAGGCTATAGGAAAACGAGATGTTGAAGCTAAACTTCTTCCTGGGACAACAGATACCACTGGCAGATCTACTCCTGATCCAGAAATGTTTCAACAGCTTCCCATAAATGAAACTATACAGCAACAATCTTATGCACTTCTAGCTCAAAATAAAGCAATTGATAGTAAGTCAATATTTTTAACTGTTAAAAAAACTTAAAACAATTACCCTTCAAAATGTGATTAACAGAGAATAGAAAAGATTTAGTTTATTTGAAAAATGTTATTGTTTACCATTACAGAATGTAAATCCAACATACCATTAAAATGACCAAAGTTGCAAAATGATTTATTTCAACGAGACATTCAAGATAAATTTACAAACACATTTATGCCATTTGATATGATAAATAAAAATTATATTCTTGTGGATGGAGGTTACTATTTTAGTTTCTGAAACTAGCTTTTGGGTTCATATATGCACATGATTATTATTCTGTATGCTCATAATGTCATTCATCTTTAATAGACTGAAAAACTTAGTGTGAAATACACTAGAATCCAAAGTAGAATAAAAGCATGCTTTTTCTATTATATGTATACAGTATATTATAATTATTATTACTTTTTTGTGTAAGTTTTACTAAG